ACGATTAATTCATTCACAATATACACACTAAATTGCTTAATTACATCATAACAAAAGAATATATTTTATATGCATATTTTGATGAATTTAGCTGAATGTAATTGTAAACTAAAGCATATACAAAACTTCTTGATGTATATGAAATTAATGTTAATTTTTAGGCAATAACAATCAATCAGACAGAGATTATGAAGGTTCTTATGCCAAATGTAGTATACAAGAAACCTAGCATCGTATGAGCGGAAGCGGCACAGACCCATCGTATGAGTGGAAGCGGCACAGACCACTTAATAAGCCTAGTCAACTTGCACCACTTAATTAAGGCCCTAATATATAATCATTTATATAATAAAGCTATATGGTTTGGGAAATAATTAATGTTACAATTAATGCCACAACATCCTTTATTAAAAAAAAAAAAAAAAAGCACAACATTTAAAAAATAAAATAGCTATATATATTATATAATCATATAAAAAAATATACTTTGGAAAAATAAAATAACTATATATATTATATAATCATATAAAAAATGTGTTCAATTAGAGTTTAAATTTACACATACAAAATTTGAAATTTGCTTTTCAAATGTAATTATCTTAGTTATTATTTGTATTGTGAAATTATAATATAGATGAATACAATTAAAAATAAATCAATGTAATTATGTAAATTCTCTCTATAAGTTTATTTGAATATGCACATAATTAGAGATTATATTAACCATACAAAATTATAATTTTAATATTAATTTTCATTTTAATTGTAATTTTGTATTCTATAAAATAATAAATATTTGACCAATGGAAGCTCAAAAATATTATTATATTAAATAATTTAAAATATTTTAGTTTTTCTATTTTCATTTATATTTATAATAACATAATTTTTTCCTATGCATCGCGCGGGTGAATTACTAGTATATAATATATATTATTAGGGAAGATCTTACAGAACAAGCTCGTTTGTGTTCGTTTAATAATGTTCGCGAACAAGCTCATTTGTGTTCGTTTAATATTTGTTTGTATTCTCTTTGTAGTTGTGTTACTTGTTTCGTTATTTTTCGTGAACATAGATGATTTCTTGTTCACGAACAAATTGTGATCATGAACATGTTCATATGTTTGGTTATTAAGCATTCACGAACGTGTTTATGAACGTGAACGAACATGTTCACAAACATTAATGAACATGTTCGTGAACGTGCATATTAACAAACATGTTCGTGTATGTGTTCGTAATATTAACGAACACGTTCGTGAACGTGTTCACGAACGTTAACAAACACTAATGAACGCTTAACAAACGAACACGAACAGAATTTTCAAAAATTTTAACAAGCAAACACAAATACGAACAGTCCAACAACCTTAACAAACTAACACGAACAACCTCCGTTCATTTATGTTTGGTTCGTTAACAACTCTAATTATGAGTATAGTTAATTTAAATGATCATTTCAATAGTAATTAGTGCGATTGTAACAATCACTATCCTAATCACTCCAATTGTTCTTCAATTCTAGCTAAGAGCATCTACATCAGTAGATAATATGGGGAGATTGCAGCACTAATTCTCCCACTTCAAGTTTATAGCTAATGTAGGGGAGAATTCATCTAGGGAGAATTCATCTGCAAATTTCGAAATAATGGCAGAGAAAAGAAGAAAAAGAAGAAAAAGATAAAAAACAAAGCATGGGCTGCTGTGCGCGTTTCGCGCACAGCAGCCAGCCCACATGGGCGCGTGCAAAGCACGCGCCCGAGGGCGAGTCAGGCGCGCCGAACGACGCGCCTGACTCTTTTGTTTTTTTTTTTATTTTTTTTTTCTTTTTTGATTTTTTGATTTTGGTTTTTTTGTTTTTTTTTTTTTTTTTTTTTTTCTCCCCTTTCCATATTCTCTCTCTTAATCACTCTTACATTATCTCCCAATTCTCCCAAATTAATGTGGATGCTCTAACCTTGCCTGCATAAAAAAAGTACCTTAAATGAGTATTTTAATACTCCGTACTAATTAGTACAGTTATAATCATTGTTCTAACTACTTCAGTCTATCTTTCTACTTGTCCGATTTTTCGTGCATTAAAAAAGATCTTTTAAATGAGTAAGTGTTGAGGGATGTAATCATGTAAATGACTTTGTGATCTAATAAAATGAAGAGACTCTCCCAAATAAAGGTCATGTGTTTGAACTTTAGTGAGGACTCTGTGTTTCAGTAGGTTAAGAAAATAGATATGAACAGATATTATATTATAACAAAGGGGAGGGAAAACTCTTTCATTTTATAAAAAAAATCTAAGCTTGATTTAAGAAAGTTTTTTTTTTTTTTTTTTTTTTTTTTTTTTTTTTTTTATTGAACAAGATTTAAGAAAGTTTCATCAACTAAATTTGTAAACTTTTTTCCTTTCCTTTCCTTGGACTAATTCATGTGTATAAATACCTCGAGGCACATTTAAGAGGTTCGGACATGATTTTCTAACAATAAATTATTTTTGTGATATTTGCAGTAATATTGACATGTTAATCGATTACCTCATAGTAGTAAAATCAACAAGCATAATTGTGAAAACCACTTTAATTAATTTTTTTCTATTCATATACTTTCTCACATACTGAAACACAAAGAGCTAATAACGCCTCCACTGAGGCTTGAACTTACAACCTTCCAAATGGAAGTCCAACCCGGATACCATTAGACCACATAGTCCTGGTTCTTAATAAATATGATTATTCGTTAACTTTTCCGTTAAATATTATTTTTTTCGTTAATTTCTGTTAGTTCACCGTTAACTTACTAATTGATTTCAATAAGAAAGGTCTTAGGTTCGAACCATATCCCTATCAAAGTTGGCATAATTAATACTCTATTTTACTCTTATTAAATTAAAGGGAAAATGACACTTTTTTCCCCTGAGTTATATACCTATAGCATTTTTCCCCCCTAAATTATTGAAGTGGTTGTTTTTCCCCCTGAAATGTTAAATGGACATATTTACCCTTAAACTAAATATTTAATTTATTTTTTTTCCAACAAATTATGACCATAATTTGGTTCAAACTAAACAAACACTATAGCAACCAAACTGAAATATTCCAATTACAATTTAGAATCGAAATTCGATATTTAGAGTTTATTAAAATCGTAAACCGGAATGGACGGTTCATGTTCCGAACTGAAAAAATAAAATACATTTATTGTTGAATTTAGATTATTTTAAAATAAAAAATAAAATTTTAAAATAAAGACGGTTCAAAATCGCGAATCAGATCCGGAACCGCCGGTTCACAGTTCAAGATTCAATTTTTTGATACATAATTTTAATAAATTGATATTTAAATATTGGGTTCTAGATCTGAATTATAACCGTAAACTATTAATTCGATTGCTTTAGTATCCGGTTCAATTCAAACCGAACCGTGGTCATCCCTACGTATACGCAATAATTTGTTGGAGTAATAAAATAAATAAAATGTTTACTTTAAGGGTATAAATGTCAATTTAATATATTAGGGGGAAAAGGCACCACTTTTAGAATAATTGAGGGGGCTAATGTGCTTACCTAAATAATTGAGGGGGGAAAAGTGCTATAAGTATATAACTCAGGGGTAAAAAGTGTCATTTTCCCCTAAATTAAATAATAATTTAGTAGCTACAACAAAAAATAATACATATGCATTTCTTTAATTTAGAATTATGTGTCTACAATGTCTTTATTCAAAAAATATTATTCATTATGAATAAATTAAATAAGAGAAATAATTTCATTAGTTATATTGTATTTATTTTTCTCCAATATAAATATTCTTTACATTCAAATTCATCAATTGATTATACACACTATATTGTCCCTAGAATGTGTTTATTAAAAAAAATTATTCATTATCAATAAATTAATTAAGAGAAATAATTTTATTAGTTATATTGTCTTTATATTTCTCAAATGTGTAAAAATTCTTTACATTCAAATTTATCAATTGATTATATTCACTACATTGTCTATTATCTTTTTTTGTGCACTATTTTTTTAATTAAATATTAAAGTTATAATACAAAATAATGCTATATATTTATTTACCAAGTATTTTATTAATACCATGAAAAAATTAAAAAAAAAATATTAATTAATAAAGTCAATCATATTAACTACTTGAGGGATTTGTTAACAAAGAGAGTATTCAAATCACACAACAAATTGAAGTGGCATGTGAAACTATCTCGCAATGTCCTTGTTTGGCAATCCGCAGTTAGCTCTTCAATATTAGTATATATTTAATATTTATGCCCTAATTTTTATTTTCTCTCCCTTATGTCCCGTATTTGGTTTCAACCATACCTATACAATTATTTTATTGACAATTATAATCAATCTTGTCTATATTATCTTGCATTTGTAAACTTAGAATTGCCTATTTAAATACGCAAATTTAATATTCAATTATCTATGCATGGACAATTCCAATATAATCTTGCCTTGATATACTTTAAAATACTTATTTAAAAAAACACATTGGGGATTATCACAATCGCGCAATGCGCGTAAAAAATTAATATCTTAAATAAGTGTGTCAATAGTAGTGCAAGACAAATCATTCTATGGATCAGGGTCCACTTTACAAGATGGACCTAGGTTTAAAATACACAATTTACAGATCATAATTTTATGAAAAGGTAAATTGTAAATATTTGTATGTAAATTGTGAACATCTATTATGCAAATTGTGTATTTTAAATTCAAGTCCATGCAAATGGACCCTGGTCCATAGTATAAGAATTGATAATGCAATTGTAACGTACCATTGTCCTAACCACTCTAATTGATCTTGGCAAATTATTGAGTGGGCCATGGTTTACATAGTGTTATGTGGACCACAATAAAATGAACATTTTTAATATACTAAATGTACATATTTTATCATCCGTCCAACCCCGCTTGGCAGGCATCAAAAAGATATCTCGAGAAGCTTCATAATTTGGATTTTCCTTTTATCTCATTGATCAGAACATGTTTTGCAGGGAGAATTACAATTATTTTTTAATCATTCCTCTTTTTCTCTCCTATCAACCTTGAAGTTGGGAAAAAGGACAGACAAAAAAATACAAAAAACAAACAAACATGAGGACTTGGATGGAGTGCAAGGAAAGAAAAGAAAGAAGAGGCAGTATAGAAATTTGAATCTTTCTCCTTATCAGGAAAGACCCAAACCTTTTTTATTCTTTCCCTCTCAGTAACGTCCGGAAAAGGAACTCATTCAACAACTGGGGCTGCCGCTTTCGTTTCTCTGACTAGTTGGTGGGGAGAGAAAGAAATTAAAGATCGAACCTTTAAAGCAGACTAAAGTTCATGGCTTGATTTATCGTGCTGTTTTGAGGCTTATAGGTGAAGCTGGGTTCTGATCACTGCTCTTTTATTTACTTAAAAAACCCAATCTTTAATCTGTCTACAGAAAGAGAAAGTTGGGGGTTTTGATGGGTTTGTGCTCAAGTTTTTGCTTCCTTAAGGATCCTGATAGGTATGTGCTGCCAATTTTTCAATTTATGCATCCTTCCTGTTCCATCATTTTGGGCTCAATTGATCCTGAGTGTCAGATTTTTTGAGGGTTTTTGTTTGTTGATTTTTGTTGAAATTCAGAAAGCCCACTCTTCCTTTTACTGAAAATGCACCATTCCTGTTTGGCTGCTTAGATGTTCTAGCAAAGACAGCATTTTGGGCTACCTAATTCTTATTTGCTGAGTTGGTTTCAATGTGTTCAGTTTGTGGAAGTGCCAATGTCTGTTCATAAATTTGATGAAAGAAAGCTGTTACTGATAATCAACTGGAGAGTTTTCACAATAAAGAAACTTGAGTATCACTGTTTCACACTACAGATATCAGAGGAGGGAATGAATGCCAATTAACAATACAAGGGGTCCTGTTTATTAATCTTTGGAATGTTGCAGGAAGGAGAAATTGAAGAAGCAGTCGATATGGAGGGTTTTTTCTCTGAAGGAGTTGCACGCGGCTACAAACAATTTTAACTATGATAACAAGCTTGAAGAGGATGGGTTTGGGAGTGTTTATTGGGGTCAGCTCTGGGATGGATCACAAGTAATTATGGACAACTTCTCCCATTGTTTTTGCTTTTGAAAGTGTTCTGTTATGCTTTATAGTATTTGTTGTCTGAATCTGATCTTATTTGCATTATAAGTTGAACCAAAGCCAGAGAAATGATTGTCATATCACTTATTAAAGCACTTCCAGCTTCATTAATCATCATGGCTCAAAGGTAATTAGGGAATTATTTGGTCTAAGATTTCTGTTAGATTGCTTAACTTGAAACTCACTCAAAGAATATGCTTGTGGAGTTCTGTCTGACTCTATATTTTCATCATAATTGTCACAGAAAGGGATGAGTGTACTCTATTCTTATACTAGATTTGGTTCTGCCTTCTTCATAGTAAATTTAATTTAGTGTTTATCTGCAAAATCTTTGGTAGTTTTTAATCATTGCTTCACAGCAACATTGTCTACCTGTTTTCTTTCTGTTAGTGCTTTTTAACTCTGATACCAAGAAATGGATTTAGGAGGTAGCGCTCTTTCTCATGATGATATTTATCCAGATTGCAGTGAAAAGGCTAAAGGAGTGGAGCAACACAGCAGAGGTGGAATTTGCTGCTGAAGTTGAAATACTGGCTCGAGCACGCCACAAAAATCTTCTGGCTTTGCGTGGCTATTGTTCTGAGGGGCAAGAACATGTGCTTGTTTATGATTATGTGCCAAACTTTAGCTTGCTGTCTCATCTTCATGGGCAGTATTCAGCTGACACCCTTCTTGATTGGAAGAAGCGGATAAGCATTGCTGTTGGGTCTGCTGAGGGAATCGCGTAAGTTTCAAAGCACCATTCCACCATTTTTTGTTTTGGTATGTTAAGTCCTTGCTAATAGAAAACACTTATTATGAACTACAGCTATCTACATCACGATGCAACCCCACATATTATACATGGAGACATCAAAGCAGGCAATGTGTTACTAGATTCTAACTTCCAAGCTCAACTTGCTGGTTTTGGGATTGCAAACTTCTTCCCTGATGATGCAACACGTGTGACCACCAGATCGAAGGGCACGCTTGGTTATCTTGCACCGGAATATGTAATGTTAGGAAAAGAATCAAAGAGTTGTGATGTTTACAGCTTTGGGATTCTTTTGCTAGAGCTTGCTAGTGGCAAGAAGCCAATAAAAAAGGTGAGTGCAAGTAAGAATTGGACAATCACAGATTGGGCACTACCATTGGCATGTGAGGGTAAATTCAGTGAACTTGCAGATCCAACACTTAATGGAAACTATGTGGAAGAAGAGCTAAAAAGAATTGTGTATGTAGCTCTCATATGTGCTCAGAATCAACCTGAGAAGAGACCAACGATGCTCGAGGTCGTTGAACTCCTCAAAGGAGAATCAAAAGAGAAGCTTGCTGCTCTAGAGAATAATGAAATGTTTAAAAATCTCAAAGCTGCAACCCATAAAGATGGATGTGCACATGAAGACAGCCAAGAGTTTATCTCAGAGAAACAAGTATTGGAGCCTGAAATTGGCTCTGCATAAATTAAACTTGGTATATTTTGATACATAAATTAAACTTGGTATAGGAATGCTTCTTAGTCTTTTACTAGAAGACATTGACATTGACATTGAAGTGGAACTGAAATGATCATTTGAGTTTGTTGTGTTATCTTTTGGATGACAAGGGAATCCTGCAGTCACTACCTGATGGATAAACCTTGCCTTGTGACCCTAGCCGGGAAAAGGATCACAAGTAGGTAAACCAGCCTAGGTTGTCCATAGTTTACAGGCTCAAACCAAGAAGGCTATAGGCCGCTTTTACTGGGAACCTTGTAATTACCAAGCCAACAATATGACAAACTTGGCTCGGTTGCCCCCATATATTGTGTTATCTTTGTTGAATACAATTGATTGATTAGGCTGCATAGCCCAATGTGTCTTCAGCTGTATATGATATAACTCTACATTTAGGCAGTGAATAAGAACTCAGATTCTATTTAATATTCGTTCTACTATGGTTTACAAAGGCTCTTAACTATCTACAGAAATGAAATCAGTGTTTTACTTTCAATTAAAGGAAGTATACAGCTAGGAGAAGACAGCTAAGAGGTGATAATTCCTTTACTGTTCCACCTGATTTCACACTTGATCTCAACATGCTTTCATCCACTGCAGAAATATGTTCCACTGTTCTTGTTGGTTCAGTGGCTTGGCTCCCACAATGGCTGATGCCCGAATCCGAGATGGCCTCGAGATCATCCCCAAGCCCAGTTTTGGCATCATAGCAGAGGCCTGAGTTGTTGGAAAGCTTCAACTTTCTTCTCATCCTCCAAACCATTTCTCTCTTGAATGGCACAGCTCCTGTGAGTTGATTACTGTCCAGTCTTAGCTCACTCAGGCTATCTAGCTCCCCGAAACTTGCAGGAATCGAACCGTTCAACTGGTTCCCGTCCAGGTGGAGGACCCGGATTTTGGGTAACTTGGCTAGTGATTCTGGGATTGAACCTTGGAGGTTCATGTTCGACAATGCTAAGATCATCAAATCCTTAAAACCATCCAAAAAAATGTGTTCTGGCAGTGTATCCGACAACATGGGATTGCCACTGAGAACCAAAGCCTGCAGAAAATCCAAGTTCTTGAGAGTGGTCGGAATCGGACCCGTGATACTATTGTAGCTCAAGTCCATCAGTATTATGTTGTTGAGGGCATCAATGGAGTCCGGAATCCGGCCGGAGAGACGGTTCCGGCTCAAATCCATCTTCATGAGAGAGTGGCAGTTAATGAGAGCGGTTGGGATTGAACCCACAAGATGGTTTTGGTTAAGGTCAAGAATTTGTAACAGAGGAAAGGTTAGATTGGGGATTGAAGCGGCCAGTTTGTTTCTGCTCAAGTCCAACGACCTCAAACCGTCAATTCTGCTCAGGGAAACCGGTATTGAACCGTTGAGATTGTTTCCATGGAAATCAAGAACCCTGAGACGGGTTAAGTTCCCCAGCTGATTAGGGATGGAGCCGACATGGCCGTTTTCCCTTAGGACAAGTGTCTGGAGAGTCTGGCCGAGCTGGCCGAGAAACGTGGGAATTGGTTGGGGGTTGTCGGTGAAACAGCGGTAGAAGAACAGGGTCCGTAAATGCAGGAGCTTAGTGACGGCGGGGGAAATGAAGGGGCGGGGGGCAGTGTCGCACGTCGGAAACGCCGTGTCGTCCGACAAAGCCCCGAAGGAAAGCGACACAACGTGGTACACATTGGCCTTGTCGGGCATGCATTCAATCCCGTGCCATCGCCCCCGACAAACATCGGGAATCTCAGTCGCCCAATCATTCCCGGTGGCTCTCATAACCTCGTACACCGCCTCTTGCTCGCGCGCGTCCGTGCGTGCATGGTCGTTGTTCAAGGAATATGCAGTCTGCGGAGCGTCCACCAAGCCGGACGGCGCGCCAGAATCCGACACGATCACGGTGAAGCACTGCCCAAAAGGGAGGAATATCAGAGACACCAGAATAAGTGTAGTGGTCGACAAAAAAATGGCCATTTTCGATCAATTCCAACAGTGAGACACTTTTGTTAAGTTGTTACTGAGAGCTGAGATATATATAACAAACATAGGCAATGGGATTTTGCCTTTATGGCGGCCTGAACACTTGAGGTTGGTTGGGTTGGTAGGTGATGAATGAAAAATTCAGAGTGGGTATAGAAATTAAAGTTGGCTAATTATGAACTCACGAGGAATGAGAGAGCATAGAATAAATACTGATTTTTATAGCATTAATGTCACTCACGGGGTTTAACTCTGCTTCAGCATCTTATGTTAGTCACGATTTTTTTTTTTTTTTTTTTTTTGGAGAAGTGTCAAATAGGCTCATGTACTATTGTCAAGTGCTCAATTCCCACCATAAACTAAATTAAAGGCTAATTAACCACACTTACCTACTAAATTTGTTCAATTAACTTTTTTTTTTTTTTTTTTTTTTTTTGCAGGTAATTGATTTTTTTTTGCAGGTTACAAATTCAATTATTAAAAAAAATAATTTCAAAATAATTTAAAAATTATTAAAAAAAAAAATACAGCCACCGGCTGTCCTCGCCGGACAGCCGGTGGCTGTATTTTATTTTTTTATTTATTTTAATAATTAAATAGGTAACCTGTTATTAACTTGTAAAAAAAGCCAATTGAACAAATTTAACTCGTAGATGGACTTATTTGACACTTAATTTAGTTCGTAATGAAAATTGAGCAATTCACAGTAATAGATGGGTCTATTTGACACTTGTGCCTTCTTTTTTTTTAATAATTTCAAACTAAGGTTTTCTCTAATGCATTGATATATAGGCATATAGCTGATCAATACCAGCATTGAGTTATACTTAGAGAGTGTGTTTGGTTTGGGACTTTGCAGTTTACATCTACTATCTATCTACTATCTACTATACTAATAATCTACTATCTACTATATATATACTAATATAAGAGCTCAAGAGAGTTAGGTCTATAATGGGTAGAAAAAATGGCGGTCAAATTTTTTAATCAAATGAATGACTCAGATTGATTAAATTTTAATTTTTTCTTAAGATTTCCTAATTTATCCTTAATGAATATGATTATTCGTTAACTTTTCCGTTAATTTTGTTAGTTCACCGTTAACTTACTCATTGATTTCAATAAGAAAGGTCTTAGGTTCGAACCTCATCCCAATCAAAGTTGACATAATTAGTACTCTATTTTAGTTTTATTAAGTTAAAATAATAATTTAGTAGCTACAACAAAAAATAATGCATATGTATTTCTTTAATTTAGAATTATGTGTCTACAATGTCTTTATTCAAAAAAAATTATTCATTATCAATAAATTAAATAAGAGAAATAATTTCTTTAGTTATATTATCTTTATTTTTCTCTAATATAAAAATTCTTTACATTCAAATTCATCAATTGATTATATTCGCTACATTGTCCCTACAATGTCTTTACTAAAAAAAATTATTCATTATCAATAAATTAATTAAGAGACATAATTTTATTAATTATATTGTCTTTATATTTCTCCAAGTAAAAATTCTTTACATCAAATTTCAAATTCATCGATTGATCATATTCACTACATTGTCTATTATTTTTTTTTTTGTGCACTATTTTTTAATTAAATATCAAAGTTATAATACAAAGTAATGTTGTATATTTGTTCACCAAGTATTTTATTAATACCATGAAAAAAATTAATATATATATATATATATATATATATATATATATATAATTAATAAAGCCAATCATATTAACTACTTGAGGGATTTATTGACAAAGAGAATATTCAAATCACACAACAAATTGAAGTGTGAACTAACTCGCAATGTCCTTGTTTGATAATCAGTAGTTAGCGAATTATATCAACGGTTGGTAAAAAGATATTTGAAAAAATTAACTGCTTAGATTAACATGTAAAATGATCTAAGGGTATACAAATATTTAATAATAATAATAATAATAATAATAATAATAATAATAATAATAATAATAATAATAATAATAATAATAATAATAATTGTTTTAAAAAAATAAAATTAAGCCAATCATATTAACTACTTGGGGGATTTATTGACAAAAAGAGTATTCAAATCACACAACAAATTGGAATGGAAAACTACCTCGCAATGTCCTTGTTTGGCAATCAGCAGTTAGCTCTTCAATTCCCGTATTTGGTTTCAACCATACATATACAATTATTTTATTGACAATTATAATCAATCTTGACTATATTATCTTGCATTTGTAAACTTAGAATTGCCTATTTAAATACGCAAATTTAACATTCAATTATCTATGCATGAACAATTCCAATATAATCTTGTCTTGATATATTTTAAAGTACTTATTTTTTTTTTTTAAAAAAATTGGGCATTATCCCAATCGCGCAATGCGCGTAAAAAACTAGTCCTATTATAAGTTTTGATACTCATGTTTGTTTGCCTACGACTTTTGTTATTCTACTAGTTCTTTTACGCGCTTTGCGCGAATGGAATAATGTCCAATGATTATTTTTAAATAAGTATTTCAAAGTATATCAATGCAATATTATATCGGAGATGTTCATACATTGGTAAATAAATATTGAATTTGTTTATTTAAATCGGTAATTTAAAGTATATAAATGCAATATAATATATGAGAGATTGATTATATTGTCTCTAAAATAAATATTTGCAACTTTGTAATAACGCTAGTCTAAATACTTAGTCTAAAAACGATAGTCTAAATAAATACTACTTTTGGTTTAAATTTTCTAATTCTTCTTAATTCTTAATTGGGTAGCATTGTCATTGTCTTCATCTTCAGTACATGTCCTCTCTTTTTTATTGGTAGTGTGTCATGTGCAATTGGGTTACTGGTGGTAGCATAGATGGATTCATTGTGCAATGAGATTATGATGTAGAAAGCTTTAGATTTGCATTGTTGTGTATATGATAGGATCTTAGTTGTGCTATTAACTCTTTATCTTACAAGCACCTATTGATATTTGGTAGTAGTTGTTTTTTTCCTACATGTTTCATGCATTGTGAGATGTGTGTCGTAGGTTATCATGTGAAAGTATTGAACAAAATATTAATATTTATTATATTTGTATAAAATACTTGGTAAATAAAATATATATAACATATTTTGTATTATAACTTTGATATTTAATTACAAAATAATGTAAAAAGAAGACAATGGACAATGTAGTAAATATAATAAATTAATAAATTTGAAGGTAATAAATCTTTGGATTGTAGAAAATAAAGATAATATAACTAATTAAATTATATCTCTTTTTAAATTTTTTATAATGAATAATTTTTTTTAAAATAAAGGCATTATAGACATCTAATTCTAAATTAATTAAATGAATTTGTATTATTTTTTGTTGTAGCTACTAATTTATTTAATTTAATAAGAGT